TGGAATCCTAGCACTCTGGGAGGATTGCTCGAGGTCGGGAGTTCGAAACCAGCCTGACCAAGAGCGAGACCCCGTCTCTACTATAAAATAGAAAGAAATTAATTGGCCAACTAATATATATAGAAAAAATTAGCCGGGCATGGTGGCGCATGCCTGTAGTCCCAGCTACTCGGGAGGCTGAGGCAGGAGGATTGCTTGAGCCCAGGAGATTGAGGTTGCTGTGAGCTAGGCTGATGCCACGGCACTCACTCTAGCCTGGGCATCAAAGTGAGACTCTGTCTCAAAAATAAATAAATAAATAAGTAAAAATAAAAAAATAAATAAAAATATTCTCTGCCACTAACCTAAAATCCCACGAGGAATCGCCAAGCAGAACCCACAAGGAAGCTTTGAAAGCAGGCAGAGGGGCTCAGATGGAGAGTGGGAAGAGTACCCCCAACCGGCCTGGCCAGGTGGGGAAAGGGGAGCTGCCACCTCCTGACCTCCGCCCCTCCCCCCAGGCCTACCTCCACTCCATGAACATCATCCACCGGGACCTCAACTCGCACAACTGCCTGGTCCGAGAGGTGAGTTGCCTGGGTATCTGCGTGGCTGGACAAGGGGGGAGCCGGCAGGAAGTTTCCAGCGGCAAGAATGGCACGTGCTAAGGCCCTGAGGTGTGACGTTCAGGAAGTGATGAGTTGCTGCCGTGGAGTGCATGTCCAAGGAAGCGCCGGGAGCCTCCAGGCGCTGTGGGAAGCAGTGGGCTGTGAGTGCGGAGAGGGGCGAGGCTAGATCTCACAGGCCTCCCAGGGCGTCTGCTCACACTGTCTGGCAGGCAGGGAGCCGCTGCAGGGCAAGCCAGTGTGGTGGGCAAGGTGGGGGGAGGATGGCCATCAAGGCCTCAATCCCACAGCAGGGATCATCCCTCGAGAATCTGAGAGGTGTGAACTCTCCTGTCCCTGAAATCCATCCGTGCACAGCCAGAACTTTGCCCACAACGTGGGGCCTCTGAGAATCCCGGATGGTCACCCTTGCTGGCTTCCCTAGAGCTGTTTCCCATAGCAGGTCTGTGGGCCCCATAGCAGAAGATCTTGGGGGACTTGTTAAAAGTGCAGATTCCTGAGCCCAAGCCCAGGTCTTCTCAAAGGGACGGGGCAGGAGTCAGCACTTGAGCAATCCTGGTGGACCCTGGCCTGAGAGCCACTGCCCAGGTGGGGCGGAGGGTCCAAGGATCTCATTCAAGACCCCATGACCGAGGCCGGGCGTGGTGGCTCACGCCTGTAATCCTAGCACTCTGGGAGGCCAAGGTGGATGGATTGCTCCAGGTCAGGAGTTCGAAACCAGCCTGAGTAAGAGTGAGACCCTATCTCTACTATAAAAATAGAAAGTAATTAATTGGCCAACGAATATATATAGAAAAAATTAGCCAAGCATGGTGGCGCATGCCTGTAGTCCCAGCTACTCGGGAGACTGAGTCAGCAGGATTGCTTGAGCCCAGGAGTTTGAGGTTGCTGTGAGCTAGGCTGACGCCACAGCACTCACTCTAGCCTGGGCAATGAAGCGAGACTCTGTCTCAAAAAAAAAAAAAAAGACCCCATGACTGGCCTGCCACCTGGCATTACACCTAAGGTGATGGGTCCCTAGAGGGACTGTGCTTACCTGCAGCCTGGTTGGGGTGGGCCCAGGACACATGGTCAACCCGTCCCCCATCTGCTGTCCTTGTAGAGCTTTCTCCAGGTGACTGTCCTCATTTGTGTCACTCCCAGATGTAGCACAAGGTTCTTCCCCAAGGAGGAGCCTGTTCCTGACCCCCGGCTGGCCAGGGCCCTGCCTCCTGCCGTCTCTGTTATCTGTTCCTCATTGTTCTCACAGCAGTGGCCAACCCTGGGCTGGAAGCAGGGGCCAGGCTACTACCAGGGCCCCTGACACTAAGTGTCTTAGTTCGTCTGTGCTGCTATAACAGAATGCCTGAGACTGTGTAATTTATAAAGAAAAGAAATGTCTTTCTTACAGCTCTGGAGGCTGGGAAGTCCAAGGTCAAGGGGCTGCCTCTGGTGAGGGCCTTCTTGCTGGTGGGGACTCTCTGCAGAGTCCCAAGGAGGTGCAGGGCGTCACATGGCAAGGGGTGCATGGGAGACGACCAAACTGGCTCTATAACAGACCCGCTCTCGTGATAACTAACCCGGTCCCTCAATAACCCATTAATCCATTAGTCCATGCAGAGCCCTCATGACCAGTCATCTCTTGGCCACTGTTGCAGTCATGCACCATGTAATGACATTTCAGTCAGTGACGGGCTGTGGATACGACGGTGGTCTGAGCAGTAGGCTACACCATCTGGCCTGGTGCATGGTGGGTGAACCGTCTAGGTTTGGGTGAGCACACTCTCTGATGTTCACACGACAACGAGGTCACCTAACAATGCATCTCTCTGAACATATCCCCATCTTTAAGGGACACGTGACTGTACCTTGAAGATGAAGTTTCAACATGAGTTTAAGAGAAGACAAACATTCAAACCATAACACCAAGCCCAAGCAGGCCTGGCCCCGGGACCCATGGAGCATTTGTCCAGCTTCCTACCTCGGCCCTGACGCCTAGGGCTTTGTCCCCGTCCCTTGTCTCTCAGGACCCCCCAGCCAGGTTTTCTGTCTCGCTGGGGTAGACGCAGCAGTCAGCACTGCACCCTGCAGGGGCCCGGAATGGGCCAGGGACGGCTCCTGCAAACCTCAAATAGCGGAACCAGGGCTCCAAAGTCCTGGGCTTGAATCCCAGCTGTCACTGACCAGCCGGGTGGCCTTGGGCAACTTTCTTCACCTCTCTGAGCCTAAGTCCCCTCATCTGTAAAATGAGGATAAAAATTACATAGACCTCACCGGGTTGTTGGGAGAATTAAAAATGAAATCTGTGACATGGCACATGTAAGACCAGACCAGTCTTTAATCAGAATTCCCGTTTTTCTTTCCAAAACAAGGAGCACCAGTTCCCTGATGGGGCAGAGGGAGAACGGGGAAGGTGGGGAGCAGGGTGGTTCAGGGGAGCAGGTGGGGAGGGGCAGAGGGTACAGTGTGGCGGGGGCATGCTGGCATTTCCAGTTGCTTCCAGAAGTTCCATTTGCCAAGAGCAGAAGAGTTTGGGGAAGGAAGAGGGGTTCCGCCCTGCACTGGGTGTCAGAGGTGTGTTTTCTGGGCGTCTGGGGTTGGCGTGGGGCCCTGGTCGGGAGCAGGCTGGGCAGGCAGTGCCAGCGTCGGGTCTCAGGGCGACCCTGCTTCACCTCCCAGAACAAGAATGTGGTGGTGGCCGACTTCGGACTGGCAAGGCTCATGGTGGACGAGAAGACTCAGCCCGAGGACCTGCGGAGCCTCAAGAAGCCAGACCGCAGAAAGCGCTACACCGTGGTGGGCAACCCCTACTGGATGGCGCCCGAGATGATCAACGGTGAGTGCACACCTCGCCTGCCATGCCCCAGGTCCCTGGGCTGCACCTGACACTGTCCTAGGGAGGCCCAGGGGCCAGCAGAGCGGCAGCCACCGAGCCCTGACCACTCCTGGACTCCTCGGGTTCCTCTCTGGGTCCCGCGTTCACTTCCAATTGCTGCTGTGACACGTTCCCACACGTTCAATGGCTTACGTAGCAAATCAGCGTGCAGTTCTGGAGGTCCAGAGCCCAGCGTCAGCCTCGCTGGGCTAAAGGCAAGGCGGCGGCCAGGCCGCACTCCTTCTGCGGGCTCTGGGAGGCTGAGCAGCGCCGCGTCTCCTCTACTCTCTGGCCTCTGCATCTGTCCTCGCCTCTCCTTCCCTCCTTCTGATAAGGACCCTGCGATGACATCAGCCCACCTGGATGACCCAGCCCCATCTCTAGCCCAAGACCCTTAACTTAATCCCGCCTGCAAAGCCCCGTGTAAGGCCGCACGTGCACACGAGCCAGGGATTAGGACAGGACGTCTTTGAGGGCCGTAATTCGGCCTCCCATGGAGCCTCTCTCCTCTACTCCCTTTCATCAGTGGTCCAGGGGCCTGTGTGTGCCCAGAGTGAACGTTGTAAGGTCCCTCCACAGGCAGGTGACACACACAGGTTCAGGGCAAGCCGACCAGGGGTCCGCTCAGCACCAGCACTGACCAAGCTGACGCAGTTAACGTGGCCCCCAAGGAGCTTAACCCATAAAAGAGTCTTTGTGGTCGCTGTCTTTAAGGGGAGGTGCAAGGGTTACGTAGGGTTTGGAAGCTCATGACCACCTGCTCGGCATTCAGTAAATGACAGTGGCTATGCTGAGCGTTTTTAACCTCATCAGGTAGGTAGCAGTGTTCCCATTTTACGTAGGAGGAAACTGAGGCTCAGAGAGTTTGTGTCAGTTTCCTGAGGCTGCTGGTAACAAATTGTTACAAACTCAGTGACTTTAAACAACAGAAATTTATTGTCTGTCAGTTTGGGGGGTGGAAATCTGAAGTCTTGCAGGGCCATGCTCCCTCCAGGGAACAGTCCGTTCCTGCCTTTCTCAGCCTCTGGTTGTCCTGCATTCCTGGGCTTGTGGCTGCGTCACTCCAGCCTCTGCCCCTGTCTGCACATGGCCTTGTCCCCTGTTCTGCGTGTCTTCTCCGTCTCTCTTATGAGGGCACCAGCTGTGGCATTTAGGGCCCACCCGGGTGATCCAGGATTCTCAAGATCCTTAACTTAAACACATCTGCAAAGACTCTCTTTCCAATACAGTAATATTCACAGGTTCTGGGGATTTGAAGGGGTTGTCCTTTGGGGCCACCACAGAGTTCATGGCATGCCTGGAATCAGTCCGGGTGGGGATGGGTGGCAGAGCCTGGGTGTGGCTCGCATCTGCCACTTGTCCTGACCTCCTGGCCAAGGCATCCCCCCGCCCCCATCCCCTGGCTGGACGGTCCCTGGCACCCGTTTGGCATCCTTCCTGACACAGCGTCACCTGCTCATAGTCGGTCTCTTTGCCCAGGCCGCAGCTATGATGAGAAGGTGGATGTCTTTTCCTTTGGAATCGTCCTGTGTGAGGTAGGTCCAGGGTGGGTGGCGGCGGTGGCGGGGCCCACAGCTCCTCTGCATGCCCCACGCTCCCAGGCTGCAGGCCGGGGGGCTACAAGGGCCTCAGGGCTGGGAACAGGGCTGCCCACAGCAAGGGGTGGCCTGGCCGCAGGGGGAAAAGGTGGTCAGGCTGGAGCCAAGCCCAGGGCAACCTGCCCGTCCCCCTGGGTTAACTGCCGGGCCTTGTGCCGGACAGATCATCGGGCGGGTGAACGCAGACCCTGACTACCTGCCCCGCACCATGGACTTTGGCCTCAATGTGCGAGGCTTCCTGGACCGCTACTGCCCCCCAAACTGCCCCCCGAGCTTCTTCCCTATTACCGTGCGCTGCTGTGATCTGGACCCTGAGAAGAGGTGAGTGGGGTGGGGCCCTGGCCTGGGGCTGCCTTGGGGTAGGGCCGATGCCCAGGAGAGCCAGACCCACCGCCCACCTGCCTGTCACCCAGGCCCTCCTTCGTGAAGCTGGAACACTGGCTGGAGACCCTCCGCATGCACTTGGCTGGCCACCTGCCACTGGGCCCACAGCTGGAGCAGCTGGACAGGGGCTTCTGGGAGACCTACCGGCGTGGCGAGAGCGGACTACCTGCCCACCCCGAGGTCCCCGACTGAGCCCTGCCCGCCCAGCTGCCCCCGTCCCTACCTCCAGAGAGTCCACCCTCACCAGATTCCTCTGCCGGAAGTGGCCAGGTGTGGAGCCCTCGGCCGGGGCAGCGGGCGCCCAGACCCCTCCCCAGAGCCAGGCCCTGATTTGCCTTCTCCCACCCTGCGGACCGTGCCCCCTGCCCACCCTCCGCTGCACACCTGTCCTGTGGCCCCGCCGTACCTCTGTCCTAGCTTCTCCCTGCATGAGCTGGAGGGCCTCGGGAGTTGTGCCGCATCCACACGCCGCCGCCCCCGGCCGTCCTGCACACACTGCACCCGTCTGCAGCCCCCCAGGCTGGGCTGGGAGGCAGCCCCTGAATCGTGCCCTGTAATGGTTGGGTGCAGGGGAGGCCGTGTGTCCCGGGTGAGGCCAAGTTCCCAGGAGTCTACGTTCCCAGGAGCCAAATGGCAAGTCTGGGGCCCACTTCCCCACCCCCACTCCCGGGGGGGGGTGTTCTAGGTAGCAGCAGGTGTTGGTAATTATCCAGTCCCCCAAAGCAGAGAGAGGTCTGATTCTGCAGGTGGAAGGGCCGAGTAGCAGCCCTATCTCTCACTTTGGGTCTTTTTCGTTTCTTTATCAAAGCCACTTTAGTGAGAAGCAGGTACCAGGCCTCAGGGTTAAGAGAGGTCCCCTGGGGAGAAGGGAGCCTCGGTGCCTGGGCCAGGCAGGGGGCGGCTGGGCAGAGCAGACGAGGCAAGTGTCCACCAGCGGCCCAGCCCCAAAGTCATCTCAGCGCCCCTTCCTAGCCTCTCCCCAAGGCTCCCTGCCCCTCCTTATGCCCCCTCTTCCCCCCGCCGCTGTCCTCTGGGTTCTTTCTGTGTAATCTATTTTTTAAGAAGAGTTTGTATTATTTTTTCATACGGCTGCAGCAGCAGCTGCTAGGGGCTTGGGGTTTTATTTTTTTGGCGGGCGGGGTGGGAGGGCCATTCTGTCACTTTGCCTCAGTTGAGCATCTAGGAAGTATTAAAACTGTGAAGCTTTCTCAGAGCACTTTGAACCTGGAAAACAATCTGCACAGGCCCGTGGGACTACGACTTAGGGGGTGGGACACGCTCGCCCCCACCCAGGAACCGTGACGTCCAAGTAACAAAACCCAGACCTCAGAATAATAAAATAAATTCCATACTCCCCACCCTAGTCCTGCGTGGCCATGTGTGTCTGGGGCCCCGAGGAAATAGTGGAGACGAGAGAGGAATTAGAAGCCTGACGAGGAGACGGGTGCGGGGGTGGGGAGGGGGCGTCGAGGGCAGGAGAGACCTGCAGCCCAGGCTTACGTGGGGCAGAGGTGGTGGCCCCGCCAGGACAAGTGAAGGTTCCCCAAAGGCTGGTTTGGGGAGATGGGGTACACTCAGGAATGTAGTGCTTTCACACTTAATGTCATCTTCTAAAACTAAAGGGCCCTATCAGGAAGACAGAAACCACACTAGTTATTCCAAATGTAGGGCATTGAACACGGAATTGTTTACACAGGTGTTGAAAGACAGTGGAAGGTAAAAAATCGATCCTGAAGTAACCCAGAGATACCTGACTGCAGGAGCAGCTACCCCCCTGGGGCTGGGGGATTGAAGGAGAGAGGTGATCACTGGAATTAGCTGATGTGTGACAAATCACCCCTAAACTTGGTGGCTTAAAATGACAGTGGTCTCTCATTGCTCATAGTTTCTGCTTTGTCAAGAGCTTGGGAGCCGCTTAGGGGAATGGTTTGGGTGTGGGGTCTGTCCTGGGGCTACAGTCAGATATTGCCTGGGGCTTCCGTCCTTTGAGGGTGTGACTGGGAATGAGGGTCCCTTCCAAGGACCCTTCTGTGTGACTCACTTTATGAGGCCTGCAAGTTGATGCTGCCTGTGGGCAGGAGGCCTCGGTTTATCTCAGGGGCCTCTCCACGGGCCGCTTCAGTGTGTCCCCATGGCAGAGCAGTTCACGAGAGCAAAGCGCCACTGCCTTATATGACCTGGCCTTGGAAGTCACACTGTGTCATTTCCATCCTATTCCACTGGTCACAGCCAACCCTGATTCAGTGTGGGAGGGGCCCCCACAAGGCCATGAATACCAAGACCAGGAAGGGTGGTGGGCGTGGTCTGGAGGCTGACTAGGAACATGGAGGCTTGGAGGGGGATAGGCTGTGGAACCGTGCTGGGATTCTTGATGTGCGCAGTGGGGAAGGGTTGGATTCTAAGCAGTTGGTGCAGGGACTGCTAGGAAGATAGGTGCTGGCCCGAACAGCCTGCTGCTGCCGCCTGGCACGAGGGCAGGAGGAGCCCTCAGCTGGCCCGTTGAACAGGCAGCCGCAGAGGACGTCTGGGAAATGCAGTTTTCAGCAATCCGGTAACAGCATCACAGAACAGAAAGTGGAACAGGCGAGGGCTGAGATATGGCAGGTCAGCAGCGCCATCTGCCCTTTGGGCCACTAGTCGGCCCCACATACCTTGGTACCCTATTCGGCTTCCACTCAGCTCTCACTTCATGCTTCCAATCCCAGATGCAGTATCCTTTGTGCACAGTGGTGTCATTCTGTTCCTGGGGGTGGAGTAGGGGCCAGCAAAGTTCTACAGCCATTGCATCCATCACTCGGTGACATTCATTCCAGCCACAATTCCAGTTGAATATTCTGTAACTAAAAGACTTAAATAATAAACCTAATCACCATCATCAATACACTCCTAGAAAATAAGGCAACTAGAGGGAGGGAAATATTTGATACACGTATAACGAGAAAATGCACGCAGCTGCTGCGGGCCTCCTTGCTGCAACTGGTTCTGATATCATCATTGATTTTTTTAAAACACCTTTAATGATCCATAATACATACAATTCACCCACTTCAAGTGTAAACTTCAGTAGTTTCTAATGTAGTCCCAGAGTTGTGCAACCAATCCCACACTTTAATTTCACAGCATTTTTATGACCACAACAGGAAACCCTGTGCCCATTAGCAGTCAGTCCTCCATCCCCTGCTCCTCCAGCCCCAGGCAACCGCTCATCGACCTTCCGTCTCTGTGGGTTTCTGTAGATTGAGACATGTTTTGGCTATATGATACCTCATTTTTTTTTTTTGATGGCCTCTTTCCCTTAGCATGTTTTCAAGGCTCACCATGTGGTATGAAGTGGTATCCTCTTGTAGTTTTTCTTTTGTTTTTTTTTTTTTTTTTTAATAAAATAAGTTCAAAGGTCCATGGAAACCTTACCAGTGACCCACGGACTCAGAAGAAGGCAGGATTTGGGAGTTAGCCCAGCACGAACTGCTGCTGCCTACTACTTCCCGAGTTGCAAGGCTGGCCTGCTAGAGACCCAGAGGTCATGTCCACCCAGCATGTCTTCTCTGGTTTCAGCACCAAATGTTAGGTCCGGAGCTGAGAGACAGACAACGAGAAGCCTCATGTGTAGCAAAATGCTTATTTATTTTGAGCATCTGGGTGCAGATGGGTGGAGGCCAAAAAAGGCATCCACCTCTCCTTGTGGTTTTGATTTTCGTTTTCCTAATGACTAGTGTTACTGGGTGAGCACCTTTTCATGTGCTTATTGGCCCTCTGAATATCTTCTTTGGAGAAATGTTTACTCAAATCCTTTGTCTGTTTTTAATTGGGTTATCTTTTTTTATTTTGAATTGTAAAAGTTACTTAAATATTCTGGACACAAGTCCTTTCTATGGAATAGATAGGACTTGCAAATATTTTCTCCCGTTTTGTGGGTTGTCTTTTCGCTCTCTTGATAATGTACTTTGATACACATAAGTTTTTAATTTTGAGGAAGTGCAATGTATCTATTTTTTCTTTTGTTCCGGTGCTTTTTGTGTCATATCTAAGGAGGCTTTGCTTAGCCCAAGGTCATGAAGATTTACTCCTTAGTTTTCTCCTAAAAGTTTTATAGTTTTAGGTCTCTCAGTTCTATTATCTTGATCTACATGTCTATCGTTACTCCAGTTCCACACTGTTTTGATTACTATAGCTTTGTAGTAAGTTTTAAAGTCAGAAAGTATGAGTCCAACTTTATTCTTTTTCAAGAATATTTTGGCTATGATGGGTCCCTTGAATTTCCATATGAATCTTAGGATCAACTTGTCACATAATTTTTTTTTTTTTTTTTTTGAGACAGAGTCTCACTCTGTTGCCTGTGGCGTCAGCCCAGCTCATAGCAACTTCAAACTCCTGGGCTCAAGCAATCCTCCTGCCTCAGCCTCCCAAGTAGCTGGGACTACAGGCATGTGCCACCATGCCCGGCTAATTTTTATATATATATATATTTTTTTTAGCTGTCCGGCTAATTTCTTTCTATTTTTTTAGTAGAGACGGGGTCTTGCTCTCACTCAGGTTGGTTTCAAACTCCTGAGCTCAAATGATCAGCCTGCGTTAAGGTGCCGTAATTTCGAATGATTCCAACCTGGGACACAAAAGCATTAGCAGGCACTCCATAGGAGCCCCTGGCTTGCAGAACACAGTTCTCCTCGCCCCCATTGGATAGCAGCAACCTAATTTCTCATTGGAAATCAAGACTGATCACTCCACCCAGCAGCACAGTCCTTTATTTGACTGGCATTACATGGAATGAGGACCCCATAATGGCAAGGAGGCAGCCCCAATTTCCAATTCAGTAGAACCACTGTGTCCCCTGGCAGAAGCATTCTTCCCCTGGTATTCAAGATATCTGACTCAGAAAAGGCCAAGAGTTGCTGGGAATGGGAAGCAAAGTTTCTGCACATGGGTTATTGGGTGTAGTAGAGGCACCACTCCCACCTCTACCCCTGGACTCCCAGACCCAGGTACTCACTTTGGCTATGAAAAGTCACCTTTTGTGGATTACTGGTTCAAATCATATGCTGCAGCCTATAGAACTCTGTCCCCAGTATTTCCAGATATCTTTTCTATCCAAGATCCCATATCTGGCAAAGCAGCTGCAGTTGGAGTCATTACCTAATTAAGTTATAATAATCTATTTTTATTCTACAAGATGTATCAACCTTGCCAAACACATCAGTTAAGTGCAGATATGATAGGAATCACCACTCATGCATATTTCAAATCTATGCAATTCTCCCAAGGATTCAGAATTGGTTTTTATTTACTATCCTAAAAAGGAGAGATTCAAGGACCTTCCACCTGGCATACCAGAATAGCCCTGACCCCCGGGGTCAAGGAGCACATGTGGTGACTCTACCAGTTCCTGAAGATGTCTATTCTAGTGCTGCATTCACGTCTAGGAAATCGACCACAGGGTGGGTCCACTCACCCACTGGCCACACCCTGTGACCAAACTTCCGTCGACATACAAAATATCTTTTCTGACTATGATGGAATTAAACTAGAAATCAATAACAGAAGGAAAACTAGCAAACTTGCAAATATGCAGAAATTAAACAACCAATAATTCAAAGACCAAATCACAAGGGAAATTAGAAAATACCTTGAGGATGTAACCACACCTGAACAGCTAAAAAAAAAAAGAAAAGAAAATACCTTGAGACAAATGTGAATGAGAACACAATATACCCCAACTTTTGGGAGGGAGTCAAAGCAGTCCTTGGTGGAAATATATAGCTGTAAATGCCTACATTTAAAAAGAAGATCTCAAATCAATAACTTAACTGTATACTCAAAGGAACTAGAAAAAGAAAAGCAAAATAAACCTAAAGCTAGTGAAAGAAAGAAAATAATGAAGACTAGAGTGGAGATAAATGAAATAGAAAAATGAGAGAAAACCAACAAAACCAAAAGTTGGTTCTTCTAAAAGAGCAACAAAACTGACAGACCCTTAGCTGATTGACCAAGAACAAAAGAAAAGATTCAAATGACTAAAATCAGAAATGAAAGCGAGAATACTATACTTAGACTTTACAGAAATAAAAAGAATTATAAGGGAGTACTATACATAATTGTTTACCAACAAATTGGATAACCTTCATATGCCAGCTAACAAATTGGATAACCTTCATATGCCAGCTACCAAAATTGACTCAAGAAAAAAATAGAAAATCTAAATAGACCAATGACAAATAAGGAGATTGAATTACTAATCAAAAACGTTCCAACAAAGAGAAGCCCTGGACCAGGTGGCTTTACTGAAGAATTCTTTTTTTTTTTTTTTTTTTTTTATTATAACAAGTAGAAATACAGAATGGAGAATTCTTAAAAGGAGAATTAACCCCAACTCTTGTCAAAATCTTCCAAAAGATTGAAGAGGGAACACTACCTAAATAAGTTTCTGAGACCAGCATTACCCTAATTAATACTGAAAGCAGACAAAGACACTAGAAGAAAAGAAGGCTACAGACCAATATTCCTTATGGATATGGATGCAAAAATAATATGAGCATAATATGAGCAAACCAAATTCACCAGTATATTAAAAGGATTATACACCATGGCCAATTGGCATTTATCCCAGGAACCATTTCATATGGTTCAACATAGGAAAATTAATTGATTTGATACACCACTTTAGTAGAATGAAAAGGAAAACCAGATGATGGTGTCAACTGATGCCAAAAAAAAAGCATTTGAAAAAGTCAAGCACCTTTTATGATTAAAAGACAATAAATGAAAAGACAGGAACTTCCTAAACATATATGAAAAGGCCACCATTAATAACAGGTAATATTACTCAGTGGTGAATGACTGAAAACTAGTGTGCAGTGGTGTCATCATAGCTCACTACAACCTCAAACTCCTGGGCTCAAAGGATCCTCCTGCCTCAGCCTCCTGAGTAGCTGGGACTACAGGTGCACACCACTGTGCCTGGCTAATTTTTCTATTTTTAGTAGAGACGGGGTCTCACTCTTGCTCAGGCTGGTCTCAAACTCCTGGCCTCAAGTGATCCTCCAACCTTAAGCCTCCTAAAGTGCTAGGATTACAGGCGTGAGCCACATGGCCGGACCCATCAATTTTGATTACTGAAGCTTTGTAGTAACTTTTGAAATTAGAAGTGTGAGTCCTCCAGCTTTTCTTTTTGTTTTGTTTTGTTTTGTCAAGATTGTTTTGGCTAGTAGATGTCCCTTAAATTTCCCCATGATTTTTTAGGATTAGCTTGTCAATTTCTAAAAAAAACCCAGCTGGGCTTTTTTTTTTTTTTTTTTTTTGAGACAGAATCTCACTATGTTGCCTGGGTTAGAGTGCCATGATGTCAGCCTAGCTCACAGCAACCTCAAACTCCTGGGCTCAAGCAATCCTGCTGCCTCAGCCTCCTGAGTAGCTGGGACTACAGACACGCACCATCATGCCCGGCTAATTTTTTCTATATATTTTTAGTTGGCCAATTAATTTCTTTCTATATTTTTTTTTTAGTAGAGACGATGTCTCACTCTTGCTCAGGCTGGTGTCAAACTCCTGAGCTCAAACGATCCACCTGCCTTGGCCTCCCAGAGTGCTAGGATTGCAGATGTGAGCCACTGTACCCGGCCATAGCTGGGAATTTTGATAGGGATTGGTTTGTACCTGTAGGTCAATTGAGAAGTACTGAAATATTGATATCTTAACAATATTAAGTCTTCCAGTCCGTGAATGTGTCTCTCCATTTATTTAGATCTTCTTTAATTTCTTTCAATGGCATTTTACACTTTTCTGTGTATAAGTCTTAAACTGCTTTTGTTAAATGTATTGCTTTTATTCTTTTTTTTTTTTTTTT